GGCTTTGTTCAAGCTGCCAAGAGACTCAAGACAGTCTGCAAATGACTCGAGGGAATCCCGATTGTGAAGCTCCTAACACTAACAAATAGTGGTACCTTTGTGTCCACTTCCTATTGCGCAGTAATATGTGTAGTATAATATGTATACTCCTGTTTATCCCTTATGTCAGCTTAGAGTCGTAGTTATTATGTAGATAAATGAACTGCTGAACTAACTCTGGAGGTCGCCTTCTGGTTGAATGTACTTCCCGCGAGTGGGGGAAGTACTAGCGCTTATCACATATGTATAGTCTAATGTCTTAACTGTTAATTATCATTCAACCAACTGAATCTTGGTTTGGTATTAGTGACCAAGCTGTTATTCACTGCATTTGAGTTCATCTCCATTTGGTTGGTACTTGGTATCCCTCTTCATTTGCAGTTGATACAAATGGTAGTGATTCACCTCGTGAATTAGTCTAAAGTTGACTTCGTTATGAGCTTCCGTCTGTGGTTTTTTGTTTTCGTCTTTTGAGAAACATAACATGATGAAAAACTTGAAGGGTTCTTTCTTATATAGGGTTGAAGTTTTGAGTGTCCTTCCATTAAAAAGCCTAAAATAGTCCCTTATCTTTGAGATTAAACTTAATGTCATCCTTATTCTTTTACATGAAGCTATAAAAGTCCTCATTTTTTGTTAAATTGGTGCACTTTTAGGTTCCTCTTCAAGCTGCTGTCAGCTTATTAACTGAAACATTTACGGGAAGAGAATCTTATGAGTCGTTTGGTTGGGAAACAAGTTATCCCATAATTATTCCGGAGTTAGTTATTCCACCCTCTTATGGGGATAAAAAACCATTACAATTCCGGGATTAGTTATACCCCGATTTTATCCAGCCAAACGTAGGATAAACTCATCTCAAATTTAATTCCGGGATTAATTATCCCTTATACCAAATGGGCCCTTAGGTGTGCTCCTTTTTCTCACCAGAACCCAGACCTCTTTAGCTTGTTCTTCCAAAGGACAAGCAAAGGGGTTTGGAGTTTCAACTATTTTGTTTAGAATTATTGAGGTTCTCTACTGTTTGTATTGCTATTTTCTTTGCCATACTATAAGAAGTAGTAGCTTTTAATAAGCATAAAGCTCAATTGTAGTAAGAGAAACTGATGTTTTGCTTTTTTTTTTGCCATATTAGAAGTAGTAGTAGTAACTTTTAATATGCAGAAAGCTCAATTTTAGGAAGAGAATATACAGTTGAATAGCAACTACAAGAAAAATATGCATTGCTTTAGTGACAAGTTCCTTTTTACTCTAATAATAGAGTGGAACAGGCTGTTTGGTAAGCTCAAAATATAAAAATAATTGTAGCAAAATCAAATTTGGATTAGGCCTTTCATATATTTTGCGCACGGGGGAGGGGGGACAACCTGTGTTGCCTTCAAGAACAACTTTTTATGTGCGCGAGGCTACTCTTTTTTAGTAGCCCTTTACTAGCTTAGTAAAGAACAATTCAATATAAAGATAAGCCGTTTTAGCTTATGACTTTTAGCCAAAAATAAGCCAAAAACCATAAAATGATTATTACTAGCTTATAACTTTTAGCTTGTAAGCTATATTTTAAAAGCCAATCCAAAGGCCCTCCTAATCGATGAGGACCTTTGCCACATTATAAAAGACAAAGCAGTAAGGAAAGAGAAGGGACGACAAAGAAATTTTTGACTTTAGTTTGCATAATCAAGTATTAATAATACCAAAAAAATCTAAGTGTAATGGTCGCAGGTACATCCTTAACGTCAAGCACATTTATACGCAAACTAATGTACATGATGTTGTGGAATATGGATTGTGATTCCCACAGCCAGTTGAGTCAGCATCAGCTTCCAGCTACTCCGTGTAATTTAGTTTGTTTTCTTTGTCCTTAAACCGCTTCCATGTTAGATAGTAATATCATAATTATGATAAAACAGAAGAGGCAAACGTTACATTTCAGTTAAGACTGGGTAGGAATTAAGAGAATGGAGGCATAATGTTTGAATTCAACTTTATGGTTTGTGTGAAGTGACTAGCCCAAATATTTATTTTCTTTCGCTGATTTCTTTTTTCTTTTTTCTTTTTCAGGCTTCTTATTCTTAACTATGCTTAATTGCTAGTTTTAATCTATCAAATCAACTCATGTAAAAAATTTCAACCAACTGAATCTTGGTTCGGTATTAGTGACCAAGCTGCTATTCACTCTTTTTGGGTTCATTCAAACTTAAAAGTCTTCACACAACTTTCATTTTCTTCTCATATTGGGTACGGGTAAAATCGGGATAAAAGTTACCCCGATTTCCGGTAAAGAAACGAGAGGACAGTACGGCCTGATATGGTCTCGGGTAATGTCGAGGGCACATACCAGAACCCGGGGAGGACGAATGGTACGCCCAAAACCGGACACGGCCAAGCGTTGAGCTCAAGCAAAGTGAAGAACCGGGGCTAAGAGAAAGGTGATTAGACGGAACAAACTAAGGGCCGAAATATCCGCCCACCACTGGATATTACGCCAAAAATCTCGCCCGGTATCAACTGCGTAATAACGTTTACTAGAAGCCGAAGATCTTTACCTTACTTAGACTTGTACTAGGATTGAAACTCCCCTACTATATAAAGGAAGAACTTTTATATTTTAGGGACCACTGTTGGCACGCATATCAAAGCAATAAAGTTAATTTTTATTCTTTAGCTATTGTTCATAGTGTTCTTCAGCTGCTTGTTTATTAAGTTGTAACCGAGCCCGTTTCGAGGGCTGGATCGGAACTGATTTCCAAACGTCCATTGCAAAGCTAGACTTAATCATCCATTACGTTTGGTTTAATCGCTCCGATTTTCTTTTATTCAATCATTTATTGTTTATAGTTCATTCATTTTAAATTAAATCACAAGTCCTTTAACCCCATATAAATTCAATTGTTATTCATTTTAAGGGTAAACATATATATTTGCTGTTGATAATGGTATCAGAACTTCTAGTAACAAAAATAACAAATGTTGGCAGGGCGTGACGTCAAAATTTATACTTGCATTAAATGATATGTACACACATTAAGTAAAACTATTTTCTACAGTAACCAGACTACAAACTTTGACAAGCCAAATTGGACGCATTGGTACTAAAGATATTGGACAGGCAGTCACTAGTGCCATATCAACAGATACACCAACGTTAATAAATTGATAATATCAGGATTAATAAATTTGAAGAGGAGCTTTGGCGTAATTAGTAAAGTTGCTGTCATATGATCAGGAAGTCACGGGTTCGAGTCTCTTGTAGAAATGTAGGGTAAGGCTGCGTATAATAGACACTTGTGGTCCGACCACATGCATAAAAGGAACTTAGTGCACCAGGCTGCCCCTTTTTTCTTTCCTTGCTTACTTTGTCGATCAAACACTCAAAGCCACAGTAAATTATCAACGAAAGACCCAAACATATCATTCAACTTCTCATCCAATTCATCCATCAATTCTTACAAATTTCCCGAAAATCTTAATACAGAGACTTCTATGGAAAAATTATTGGAAGAGGAAGCTGAATTTGAGTGTACATATCGCAGGAACCTTTGTTGGGACAATCCACAACATAATCCACATTCGTTTCCATACAAGTGTATACTTTTTCAACAAAACCAGGATCTTGTAGTCCTGTTGGCTGGCATGTTAATTAACATGAAACCCGAATCTTTCGTAGAAATGCCACCAGGAAGCACTTTAGAACGCTGCTATTTAGGAATTAGTCGGTGCGTCCTGAATTTTAGTCTTTCGGTTCAAATTTTTAGGACAAAGATGTCTTGAATTATTCTGAAATTGAGATTTTTAATTTAAAATTTCAAGACAAATAAGCACTGGCTAATTTCTAAATAGCATTCCTGAAAATGGCTATATGTGCACTTGCCCCAAATCTTTATTCAAAAACCTGATAGATATAGACTACTTTGTTAAAAGTGCACAACTTGGTCATGTTTTGAAGGGAGAAATTAAGAAATAACCAGATTTACAAGTCATCATTCAAAAATAGCTACAGTTTCAAAAGTAATCGAAATTTAGCCACTTTTCATGTAAAGATAAATCTGAACGAAAATACTGTTCAAAATACGGAAAATTACTCCAGTATAATATACTGGAGTTCCAGTAAATTATATTGGAGTTTCAGTATAATATACTGGAGTTCTAGTATAATATATCGGTCCAGCATAATATACCGGAGATTGGAGCACCAGTGCTCCAATCTCTAGTATATTATACTGGAACTTTCTGCGTGTTGGAGGTCCAGCATAATATGCTGGAAGTTCATACACAGGTACACCGATCTCCAGTATATTATGCTGGAACTTTCCGTGTTGCAGCAAAATAGTGGCTATTTTTCAATTACTTTGCAAACGCTGGCTATTTTTGAATGGCCAGTCCGAAAACTGGCTAGCCCGTGCTATTTTTACTGATTTGAAATAGCATTGCCATACTAAAC